TAAATTAATTTCGTTGATTAAAAAACCCAAAATACCATTTAAATTTTACAGTAGTTTGAAACTCATGGGTAAGACATCCGATTATGTGTGAATTGAGAAGTAATGCATTAGGTGGTAGCAAATTTTAGGAATTCGCAAAGGTAATGTAAACCCGAACAAAGTCACCAAACCGAAAGTACGTCTTCAGCGTCCTCCGCGTTCGCTTTCCTTATTACGGCTTTCGGAATTAATTGCATGAAGGGAGAAAAAATAACTCTTCCATACAGACGCACACTTCACGTTATCAGTCCATCATCGTTTTATCAGCTAAATCGATTAAAAAGGAGACCGCCAAACTCGATACCAATAATTGACAAATTTAATCATCGACTTGACTTTTACAATCGCGCGGGCGGCGTTTGCTCCTATCGGCCGGACGGGTGAAGGTCGGGGGCACAAAGAGTATGTAACGTTTTCCGTCACACTTCGTGCTTTATTACTATTTTGGGATTGAAAATTTCCAAAATTTACCGGAAATTAAATTTCCAAAGTCTTGGAAATTTCCTAATTATACTCTGAATTTTTCCGTTTTACCCGGAAATTTTCCTGAAATTTTCCGGAAACGTTCCAGGGCTTCCAACCCTAATTACCTTGTCTCGCGGCCTGTTGGTGACGGCCGTGATGAGCACGCTGTGCAGCGGCACGTTCTCCAGGACGCCGGCGTAGTAGGCGCTCTGCAGGAACTGCAGGTCGCGCAGCGAGGTGCCCGGCCTGGACACCGTCAGCGTGGCCAGCGCGTACCGGTCCGGGTTGTCGTGCTGGCTCGCCTGGACATCGACAACAGGTTTTCGATATATCGCAAGGGCGCACTACGGGGACAACGGAGAAGGTGAAAGAGACACTCACGCGCACGACCAGGGTGGCGGGCTGCAGCATGTCGTCGTCGGGGATGCTCCGCTTCACCGTCAGGTGGCCGGTGGTGGGGTCCACGTCGAAGTAGCGGTAGTCCGAGCCACCGGCTGTACAGACAAAACGGCGGTTAGTATCGGTCAATATCCTCAAACTTGATCCCCTCAATCACAACGGGAACCACTATACATTCTGAAAAGATTTTGGCATTAAAAAAACAAACAAACAATGACCGACCTGAGTTAAACGAGTACACCACGGGTGAGTTGATCCCCACATCTTGGTCGTAGGCCGCTATTTCTCTGGGCTGGACGCGTAACCGAATACCCTGTGAGAAAGAAAATGTCACATGAGTTTTTAACGCAGAGCGTGAGGGCCGATAGGCGCCTCTCGTTAATAAATATTTGCGCGAGGAAAAGTTGCCTCATCGGGTTGACGACCGGTTGGCGGCCTTCAAGGCTGCAAGTGCAAAGACTCCACTGCATATTTTCAGAAACCAATACACACAACACACGTATATTTATAAAAGCTGGCATACAATATGCCATAGGAAAAATTGTATTCATGACCTTGACTATGCAGCGCAGCATCATATGCACCCATAGAAAGTGCGACTGTCCCATTCCCGGCAAAGCCTGTTCATGCATCAAGGAATTGAACTGCCCTACAGCGAATGTACTTATATGTTCGGCCTTACATGCCATTTTCGCTGTCTTCATACCAAATGATCTTATTTGAAGAACTGCCATTTTTCCGAGGGGGCAATAACTCTGGGAATCATGTGTACAGACCGGGCCGGGAATCAGCGGGAATCAATGAGAATCACGACGGAAATCAACGAAAATCAATGAGAATCTTGACTGGAATCAATGGGAATCATGGATTCCGGGAATCATGTGTACACTTGAATTCGGAGTTATTGCCCCCTCGCATTTTTCGGATGTACTGCATTTTAAGAATAGTGCCATACCCCCCACTAATAACTGACGGCGTTAAGTCGCCTCTCTCTCGCTCCCCCCCCCTCTCTCTCTCTCTCTCCCCCC